GTGCATCAGAAACTCTTGTTTTCCGACATTTACAAGGTTGTCTAAATGCAAGATTACCACCACTGCTGTCTTTTATTATTACCTCCAGTCTAGCATTAACATCTGTCGATAGGTGGGCTACACGCTGATCACTTACACTGACAGTCTCATGAGTATCCATACCTTCTGTAACCGCATCTGCTCTTAATTCTACTTCATGTTCAAGTTGTACAGAATCCTTGTTCAACTCAGCAGTAATAGGCACTCCTCTCATCCCATCATGAGCAACCAAATACAAAAGTGCACTGTCATGATCATTGTCACAAATATCCACCTTACCGCCGTTTGTATGATCGACTTCATCATTTTCAAACTCTAATAACACAAGTAGACAATTTGGGTTCTTCCTCGCAAATCCTTAAAGGTTTTATACCTTCACTCTGACTTGTAATGCGTTGAAAACTTGTGGAGTCAGGACCGGACTCTCCTGCACAAACTACTGTGTCGTCTGTGACCCTCTATTCAATAATGGCTTACCAGTTGCAGCTACATGCTTCTTCACCACACCGTTATCGTCACACAATTTGGAGTCAGACCTGGATATCACATTTAGCTTATCACTGAACTTGCTCACTGGTTCACAGCTCATCTTTGTATGCATCTCTTGCAAACGTGTAAAACACAACCGTGTTTGTCTCGCAACTTGTAACCTATCTGTTGGGAATGTCCCACGATAGCTGTTACACACGCTAAGTTTATATGCATTACTAGACACCATACAGCCTTCTCGATATCCACCTCTCTGAGACCCTTTCGTCATCAATAATTGCATTTTGTTCTCAGACTGCTCTATTCTAGGGGTGGGATGCAGTATACCGGCGAACTTGCTCATAGATTGATTGACGCTATCTTTTACCAGTTTCAGGATATCATCAAACTTTGTCTCGATACCTTCATCTTCTATACGGGAGCTTATCTTCACCCACTTCCTTTGCAATCGAGTAGGTAGGCGTCTCGCTATTACCTCTAGGGCTGAACTTGAGTTCGGATCACTCATGCTATTCATCAAAATCAATGCATTCTTGTAAGTCATCAGATTATCCAAAAACTCAGTGAGTGCCTTGGAGTCATCTTGTAATTGACTACCATTACCTTTAACAGCCTCGAATAATTTCTTTACAATCATCGAAGTTCTTCCGAATCTTTACCGTAGTATACTCATAGCCTCAGAGTATCCTTTGTTAGGGGCATGAACTTACAGCACTGTGTGGCTCTTTAAGCAACTCCAGTGCAGTACCTCATCAAATAGATCAACTTCATTTCATGATTCATCTCAAACGTTTTGTTAAACTCTGGATAGTAGGCTGGGTTTCCATAAAAGCACCGAGGCTCGAATTTAGGAAAATTTAAACCCTTACTATCCCCAAACGGCGAAACCTGTGCAACAGTCATCATGCTGAGCATCATACACATCATAACATTTTACTGGCAATTCATCATTACTTACTTTCCTGCTTGCTTCCAAGACGCTTCGCCCCTTCTTTGACCCAGGCAACAGTGAACTTTACAGAAATTTCCAGAAAAGTTCCAGATAAAGCTTGTCCAAAGAAGACGGGCAGACACGAGGAAAGACGAACGGAAACTATCAGAAACTGTCAGCTAAGTCTCATAAACTGTCAATGTCCAGCTCTTACTACGCTGTCCCTCGGAGACATTCAGAATCACTTTGTATTGACCAACGCGAAAACCAGAACACTGATTAGCGACTCGAGAATCCTTTATTCTTACGCCGACATGTAACCAACAATAAGGTCATTATACACAAGCTCTAAGAATAAATGTTACAACAATAAATCACGATAATAATTCTGATAGTCCTCTCTCTTCCACTGAACAGCGAACGATGACTGCTGTATTGATGACTCCCGCGAAAAATATGGAGGAGTTGGGTTTGAGCAAACAACCATGAATTGATCGTTCAATCTTCATCTATATTAACAGCAGCCATAAATGTTATATCTTCCCTTCACTATTTGTGTCGGCCTTATGAGCTTCCCGGCCACCATGTTAGGTTGGCCAGATTGAAATGTCAGCAGGAAGTAGGTTGGAGTTCAATTCCAGCTGGATTAATAGCTACACAGTAATCATGAACGTTATTTCTGGTTGAAGCCTACTAAAAACCAGTTCAAAATCACTAGAATAGACTAAATAATTGGTTTCCTCTACTCATATACACAATAAAATTTATTTTCGTTAACTTGTACAATCATCTTGTGCGGTCGGGTAACTTCATGTTACTCCATAAGCGAGGTATTTTTCCAATTCTCATTTCATTTGGTCCGAAGAGTTTTTATCTTGCTAAGCCTCTCAGTGACGCTAGTTTAATTGCCCCGGACGTATTTGGCCAACCATTGCGAATTAATGGATTACACTGTTTTTTCGTTTTGACTCCACAGGACTGGCTAGCCGAAAAACTTTTTTAGCTGATTTTTAGTTCCGAATACCACTCTAATTCCTTCACTAGTTAGGATTTATTCGGCCTTACGTGAAGTATACAGTAGGAACGAGAAATACCAAAACCGATATTCCAAGTTATTTCTCTTCATATGATATGACTGGCTTTTAACGTTTCGAGTAAATAATACAGCTTCATCGCCGGATATATTCAAGTGGCAAAAGAATGTTGTTATTACTTGTAACTGTATTTTCAGCTTTTGCTAAATTAAAAGATTGACCAAAAGTATGGCTTTCTGAGACTCTAATTTCTATCTTTTATCAATATTTAATTATGTTTACTACTGTTCAGTTGTACAGGTAACAAATGAAGTTGTGTTTAAATATATGAAGTGGTTATATTGGCGCGGCGGCGGGTTCTCAAGACAGGGCTTCGACCTTGGCAGGTACGAATGTCGATTGAGGACAGTGATGAACAGCAACAACGGAAGGTATGGCTTCTTGGATTTAAATAAAGTTTCAGATGTTACAACTGTTAGTCTTCCTGAAAAGCGTGTCAAGTTTCCCCTGTCTCGAATCAAGACAATCGTGAAGACAGTGCCATCCGTCAACCTTGTTAACTTTGAGGCGTTGGTGGCTATTGGATTTCTTTGTGAACAATTCGTGCAGGATTTTTGTGGTAGCGTTCGTGAAGTAACACTCCAAGATGGGAAAAAGACTATTTCCAAATTGCATGTACAGAATACTGTGAAGCTATTTCAGAAGTTTGAATTTTTAGATGGAATTATTGACTAGTAAACGGCTAAATAACACAAGACCTTTTACTTGGTACTCTTCGTACTTTCATTTTCGACGTTACGACTGATGTCCGTGTTTCCTGACCTAGCTTTTAACTGTTTCCAGATGCTTTTCTAAGAATTATATATTTGTATACAATAACTGTTATATATATATATATATATATATATATATATATATATATATATATATTATCATAGATGCTTCCAACTGTACCTAGCCTTTAATCATATTTTGGTGTATTCAGTTCCATTAAACATTAGATACTCGAGTTACTTAAATCATTATCAAAAGCAAAGGATTCACAAAACACTGAATCATGACTTCTCTTTGTAAGATGGCTACAATCCCTTTAATTATTCAGCGAATTTGAGTGAACACCGAGATTTCCATAACATCTTAATACCAATCTACTCACCTAGACCCAGTTTTTCTGGTAGAAGTATACTGTTTCTGTATCCAATATGATCTCTCAACTAAGGGACACTACTGCCTTATGTTTCATTTAGCAGACAGACCTATGCCTATTTTTCGTGCACATCGGCACTTGTAAGCATTTAGTGACAGTAGGCATCATGCATCCCAACTTTCGTTCACCTAGACCTTAACTGTAGTTAACTACCAAGAACATTAACATGCACATGGTTGTTGAGTAACACCATTTAAGTTTTTATTAACAAGGGTGTTTTTGTGTGTGTTTAAGATGAGTACAGTTAAAATAAAGCTCTCAGCTGTAATGTGTCTAACGTAAATTCTTTAGATACAAATCAGTGACCAATGTAAACGACGAAGCAGTCAGTTTTTGACACTTAGCAGATGTTGCTTTCAGCTGAAGTATGTCTAAACAGTTCTATCTTTTTTTGAGACTTTCATTCTTATACAGAAGGCAATCAACAAGAGACTTATCGTTATGAATATTATCCAATCGCTGTAAATATGCTTATGCATTTTATTTTTACTTTTTGCATCTGAAAAAACTGTCAAGCGTCGATATTTAGGTGGTAAACAATAAATTTAGAATATGAATTAATCGTACTGCGCGAATAAATTGTAGAATACTTTGTAGCATTGGAAGAGCAATTATTGTGTATTTTGAAGAACTCATATGCTACCCAAAATGCAGTTGTGTAGTTATTGCATCTTAATATGCATTTATCGCCTCCCAAACCACAGTTCGTGGAATGTATTCCGAAAATCGTATAGGGAGTATTCCTATCCATATATGTATGATGATAAAAAAAGGGAATATCTGGATTTGAATATTTCTAAAATTACTTCGAAACACTAATACTTACGAATCCCGTAACCGTCACCAATAATACGAATTATATTTAGGTGACAAAAATTCAAAGGTAAATTCATTAAGATTTTCATTTTTTTCAAAATCATTAAAAATATGGGGTGAAAGTTTAAGAGTTCTGACAGTATAATAGATTAGTAAATTAAAAACATACATGAAAGACAGTTAGTATTCACAGATGTATATGGTAGTGTCAGAATGAAATGTCTTCCGGTTTAATTTCTCCAACCAACTGCTCGAATTTCAGTTCATCTTCGGCTTTGGGACTTTAACAATTTCTGGTTTATTGGAATACTCACGAAAAATATATAAAATCACAAGGGCAATATACACCAAGTTCATAAGGAGTATTACTGTACAAACGCAGATGATGAAGAAAGTTGTGGATTATAATACAAAATGCTGTGTATTCTACCTAGAGTTGTTTGGATTTTTAGCGCTAAAGATGACCACAAATAGCGCTTGGATTCTAAAATAACGCGACCTCCAAGATTGGTTGAACCTAGAGTAAGAGTTAACCAAAATTAATATAGTTGTATGACAAATATTTAAAAATAGTATCTATTTAACGCGGCTACATTTTTGTGACTATAAAAGCCACAATGACTACGATTGTCTGAATAGTTTGTATGTTTGTAGTATATGGGAAGAGTAAACGTACCTATCAACAATATTACATGTCACTCTCATGCCACATATTATCTAGAAACAGAGGATGACTACCTTATGCAGTTGATGAAATAAGGGCTGAATGAAAAACTTAAAACTCTGTACAAAAGTACATTAGTCCACTTATAAACTTAAAATACAAACCAACAAAAACCCTAACGAATTAACTGTGGACAAAGACCTACAGCGAACAGAAGAATTAAACAAAGACCAATAGACATTTTCCGAATCTGTGAAGCAATACAGAGTGGATACACCGGCGTCACTATAAACGATTTTAGTTACTCGACGACCCCATCTACAAAGTCTGCACCCATGTGGGTCAGACTAGCACTTAACGGCTACATTGATTGATTTCATGTTTCCAACTTAGTGTTGTTTCGGCCAGCGTCACTTGTTAAGTAGTATAGTACATCAGCACCTACGGTTAAAGGCCGTTAATTCCTCCCCATGCATTTTTAGTGGTAATGTTTCACACCCGAAAGAATGTCTGCACATGACGCATCTACTTAGAAACATAGAATCTCAGTCAACCTAGCACTCCCATGTTTATTACAGGATAAGCTTCATATTAGTTTGTTTATCAGATGCATCACACAGTGAAACAGCATTATTTACTGGATGAGGTGTCGAAAAAAATTTATTGTTCATAATCATATCAACGTCATCCAGCAAGTAATACTGTTTCACTATGTGATACATCTAATAAACAAACTAAAATGGAATTACTTACTACTACAGTGCCCAAATTCTACACATATATTAATAGGATAAACTTCGATTTTTATAAACAGTGGTGACCAACCATTTACGCTTGTCTGATAGGGCAGAAAACTCAATTCAATTAGATTGACTGGTTTCAACACAGAACTTTGCACATGGGTGCAGCAGTTCAAGTCGCCACACTTCAATCAGTACACAAAGCCGGGGAAGGAGAAGAAAGTTTTTAAAAAAATGCAAAATAAAGACAGTAAACAGAGATATGAAGCAAAGAGAATAACAATATAGTTTTATTGGAAATCATAAGTCACAAGGAGTGGAGCATCTGCACCAGCCATTGTGAACGATGCGTTTGAGCCATTTCAACAATTGCTTCCAACCTTGGTTTTTACCGTCCCGAGGACCCCAACCAGTCAGGAAGTCTACACCTTCCTACGTGGCTGGCTTAAACTAACTGTTGTGGATTTTATTGACTGGTGCCATGTTTTGGTTTGACCGCCGCTAGCTCTTTTCCAGCCTGAACCTATGTCAGCTAATATTGCCCGTCGAGGAAGGCGATGACTAGGCGTGCATACGTAACACATGTCCTAACCATCTCAGTCGATGTAATTTCACAGCCTCGTCGATTGATTTCCCCTCCTTACCTAGCGTTCGACGCCTAAACTTAGTATTGCTCACCCTATTATATCACTTAACACGGGAAGTACAACGCAGGCCCTTATGATCAAAGACAGCTAGTCTTTACATGTCATGCACTCTTAATGACCACGTCTCGCAGCCATAAAGGAAGACGGAGCAGTACACATATCAATAGCTAGCCAGTGATGGCGTAAACTGGTATATTAGATTTTGTCAGAGATCAACCCGTTCGGACTAGCTGATGCAACTTCCCAAATAAGTGAAGTGGTCAACACGCTCTACCACTTCAGTCCCTAATTCTAAGCTAGGAGTTAATGTAGTCCAGTTCAGTAACATTATCTTACATTTGGCAGGAGTGAATCACATGCCAAACATTCGAAGATTGCAACTCAAGGTGTCCATAAGACTCTACATTTCGTCAGCGTCTCCATCTAAAAGCAGGACTATATCATCTGCATATTCTAAGTCAACGAGATTATTCCCTGGTAACATGTCAATCCCTGAGTCTTGGAAGTCAGTTAGGGTTAAGTCCATCAGTACATCTATGGTGAAATTGAATAGAAATGGGGATGGTGGGTATCCCTGTCGGACATCACTAGTCGTCACCGCTTCAAATGACAACTCGCCGTAAGCCCTCACCTGGCTGCATGAGTTCGAGTAGAGTGCCTTGATCAGTGCAATGTATTTTCTCGGCATTCCCTTCACAGCCGATTATCGCTAGAGTACTTCTCGGTCGACAGGACTTAATGCCGCCTTTAGGTCAAGAAATAAGACGATTTTAGATAGTTGGAGGCAATCGGCAGGAAGCCTTGGACCTGGGTTTCGTGCCAGTTGGCATTCATCAGGAGGTTAATCGCGAGCCCGAATAGCTCAGTGGTAACGTCTCTGACTGCAGCACTGGGTGACGCGGGTTCGAATCTCTAAAGGGACGTGAGTTCCTTCAGGGTTGCAGATACGCCTTGCTGATGAGTGCTAACTAGCCACATTGCAAAACCTGACTGATAGAATTCAATCTGCACCAAAGAAGGGACTAGACACGTCACACTAGTTACTAGTGTCCAATCAAAATATGACGATTGTTGGACGCCGACAAGAATGCCTATGTTCCAGAATCTGTCGACGTGACTAACACACCTCCCTTGTCTAAAGCCTGCCTGGTTCTCGTCTTTGTTTCTCCTGTGGACCGCTTAGTCTACTCATTATTATTGAGCCTAGAACTTTAGATACCATATTAGTCAAGCTAATCCTCCTGTGATTATCACAGGAAGACTAGTCTCCCTTCCTGTATTTGGGGATAATCAATGACTTGCACCAATCCGACGGGAGTTCCTCTGATTCCCAGACCCTGCCTAGTACCTCAGTTAACTCAGACAGTAAACTGTCTCCACCGTACTTAAATACCTCTGGAGTCATTCCATCAGGTCCCGCTGCTTTGCCTAGTTTCAGACTGGTGACAGCTTTAGTAACCTCAGTTGGGGATGGAGGACCTGTGTCTATATCCCATTCAGGCAGGTGTTGGACGTTCGGTAAGTTGAGCGTGGTTGTAGGCCAATTGAACTGCTCCTCAAAGTATTCTTTCCAATGTTCTAGTCGTCTATCCTCAGAGCTAATTATGGTGCCATTTTCTTAGAGATTGCCTCATTTATCATTTCCCTTTTACCACCTGTTTCCCTGATAAGCCTAAATAGTTACCAATTGCTGATGCCTTTTCCATCTCTTTCGCTTTTGTCACCCGCCACTGTTCACGGTTGTTGCGAAGACTTCTTGTTAGTTTTCGTTTGAGTAACTTTCGCTCCTCATCATAATCGGAGTTCGCTGGAATCAGTCTTCTTGCGTCAATCAGTTAGGAAGACGCGGTAGAAATCCAATGACTCTTACTAACTTTTGGTTTTAGCTTATTAACAGCTTTTACAGCTGTGTCGACAGCTAACTGTATGTTGTGCCAGGTTGCCTCAGGGGAAGTCCTGCTGTCGACCTCAGACACTTGTTTCGCTATTTCTTCCTTAAAAATGGACTCAGAGTCTCGGTCTAGTTGGGGACGTAACTGTTTCGCTGTCATCAATTTCTTATGTCCGTTTAGTCGTAAGCATAAACGTGTGCGAACCAGGGCGTGATCAGAGTCTACGCACGTGTTCTAGAAGGAGCAACAGTCTTCTACTGACCCCCGTCTACGATACCCTATCGCTATGTGGTCTATCTGAGTCCAGCGTTGATTTGGTGATGAAGGTCACCAGGTTACACAATGTCTCTCTTTGTGCCTAAAGTTAGTGGTGACTAGGAACAGATGATCATCTGAGCAAAAATGTAGAAAAGGATCACCGTTGTCGGTTCGTCGACAGGGAACTCCATACGTACCACCTACATACTTCTCAGTATGGCACAACTTCCCTACTTGGGCACTGAAGTCCCCTGCTAAAACAACTATATCTGAGCGTTTTGCTTTTTGCAGCAAATTAGACAGTTTCAGGTAGAAGTCATCCTTCAGTTCATCCGAACTTCAGTCTGTTGGGGCGTAAGTGGAGACCACGAAAAGACGACGACGAGTAGTGCTGTTTTCCTTATTTTAACGAACCCATTCAGACGGGCCGCACACATACGACTATCTAATGGGACCCAGTCAATAAATCATTTTTCTGCCCAAAAACTCAATTCTATCCCTACACCTGCGAGTCCTCACGAACTAGCTGAGGGATCTCCTGACACCCTTAAAGTGAATTTTATAGATTCACCTTGTTGGCTGGGTGAGGTTAAGTGAATGACAAAACTCGGGTCTTGTATGAGTATCTCCGAAACACAACATACAGCCATGGCTCGAGATGCCAGAGTTCTAGCTAGTGATGTCTGTAGTCCAATTTGGCAGAGGGTCCTGACGTTGAATCCTCCTATATGAATTTGGTAACTTGGCTTTGGAAGGCTGTCGGGGATGATTCTATAGCTCTCATGCCTGTCTGTCTGTTTTCGACATAGAACTTTGCACAGATGTGCAGCAGTTCAAGTCGCCACACTCCCCTTGTAAGACATAAAGCAACAGAAGAAAGTACAAGAAATGCATAATAGCGTCAGTAAACAGAGGTGTGAGACAAAGGAATGGTAATAACAAAGAATGATACAGTTTCATTGGAAATCATAAATCACAAGGAATGGAGGCATCTGCACCAGCCATTGTGAACGATGCGTTTGAGCCATTTCAACAATTGTTTCCAACCCTTGGTTTTCACCGTCCCGATGACCCCAACCAGTCAGGAAGTCTACACCTTCCTACGTGGCTGGCTTAAACTAACTGTTGTGGATTTTATTGACTGGTGCCATGTTTTGGTTTGACCGCCGCTAGCTCTTTTCCAGCCTGACCCTATATCCGCTAACATTGCTCGTCGCTATAACTCTCATCCTTGTTTGTTGTCACAGAGTGAAGATGACTAACTAGCCTGAAGAATAGTACCGACTGTAGTAGGAAAGTAAGGTGATGTGGGTAATGGAGAATGATGCCCAGGAAGGCTTCGTGTGCTTTTGGAAGTGTGTGGGCGGTTGTTACTTTTCGGTTGCCCACACCGTGGAAGTTGATTGATTATTCGGGTACCTGAAACAGAAAGAGGGTTAGTGTTGCGTGTCCGCAAAGCCCAGGGGACAAATGCTTGAGGCCGGTCACACACGCCTGTATGAACTGGCTTCTTGGATTTTTCCGTATTAGTAAGCTTACCGCCGGTTACGGACCACCGTAAGGTAGGTCGGGATGTACAGTTGTTGGGTCGACCATTTCTAACCCCCTCCCTCTCCAGAGTGGAGAGACAGCATAGCTGGCATGTTGGTCGTCTGAGGGGAACACCTTACTGCTGTTACATACCTGTTCCCCAGCAGTAGGACTTCGCCCACAGACCCCCAGCATAGTCTAAAGAAATTTTTACACTAAGCCGGTAACTGCTTTTAGTCTAATCACCATCATAATGACCTTCCTGACATGGTAGGACCTACAGGAACATTGGTTCCAGCCAATGTAGCTTGTTGGGTTATTGCGATATGCAAGCCCGACCACCACGTCAAGGTAGCAGCTATCGGTGAGGTTCGATTAAACCCCAGTGGATAGTTCCTTGTATGAATCTGAGATAGCTCCTGGTACTATATGTGCAACAAGGAGTTTACAAAATCAGTGGAATGTTTTGACATTTGTAAGGTGAGTTTTATGGATTTATGAGGTCAGTCTGATGAGGATGGCGGTCGGGGGCTAGGCTGTTTAGTTTTAAATCCATACCTCTCACTTTAGTCACTATCAATGGTCGCAAACTGTACTGAAACTAGTACTAACAAAGGGAGAAAGATGAATACTGTATATGACGACCAGACGGACTGTGTGTATGGAAGCTTATGGGTGGCAGCTACTTCAAAGTTATCGAAAATGATTTCTTTGAGTGCCTGAAGCAGAGAAAGCATCAGTGCTGCGTAACTGCAGAGCTCAGGAGGCAAATGTTCGAGTTTGACAAAACACAAGCTTATTTGGAAAGTGAAGGATGTGAAATTTTCGGGTTGACTTTTTCTTACGCATTTTCAGCGACAAAGTGAAGAGATGAATAAGGATTCCCACCTGTAATCACTAGACTAGTGGAGAGTTAACTTAGAAGAATTGGAAAGCCTTGCTTCTAAACCAATGATATATGAGTATTTAGGGTAATAAAAGAATGACAACGTTTCAGTCACCAGAAACCATGCCTTTGAGAGCGGTTCCATAAAGACAGGAATCTGCTTCAACATAGTAGTTTAGTCACTATTTCAACTCTCATATGAATATTGAAGGACAGTTTGATGGTTAGCTTTAAGTGATCTCTCCGTTGTCACAACCTATTGTAAGTGCTTTTTTATCAGTCATTTAATTCCTTACCATCATATTCTTATCCATGTACATAAACTGTATCATTTTATTTCTGTCATTGTTTACGTTTGTTAGTGTCTTTACTTTTGTCAGCCGTTCATTAATGCCCATTGGTTCATTCCAGAGTAATAATATGCTGTATAGACAGCGCGTACATGAACCTCGTAGTCAAAGAACTCATGTGAGATGGAATCAGTAGCTGCATCTAGCAAAAGTCTAAGGCTGTTCCAGTTAATCAGAGCAATCAGTAGAAAGAAGCATAGTGTTAGGGAGACGGTCTGTTAGGCAGATAGCATGATGGTTAGCAACCCTACAAAGACGACTTGGACGTTGGATAGAACACTTCGAAAAACACAGCCAGTTTTCAATATTCTAAATCGCTTTTCTCGACTGTCAGTTCATCCTAATCTACTAATGCTCGTGCTAAACAGACTAACGTAAATACAGCGATGTATCGATCACTACTAAAAAGCATCAAACTGAAATAGACTGAAGGCTAGTCAGCTAACCTTCCAGATACTCAAATACCATAGAGCACTCGGTCCAGAAAACTTGCCTTAGATCTTTTTGAAGATGGTAAGATTTTAATGAGAGAATTGATGGGGCTGTTTACGAAAGTTCAGCTAAATGAAAATATCCTATCAATGTAGAATGAAGCCAATGCTGTGCCTGTCTTTTGAAAAGCCCCAATTAATGCTAATTAGCTGCCTTTGATCATAGGTGCCTGCGCTCTATCTCCCGTGTGAAGTGGTACAATAAAGTGAGCAATACTAAGTTTAGGCGTCGAACGCTAGGTAAGGAGGGGAAATCAATCGACGAGGCTGTGAAATTACATCGCATGAGATGGTTAGGACATGCGTTACGTATGCACGCCTAGTCATCGCCTTCCTCGACGAGCAATGTTGGTGGATATAGGGTCAGGCTGGGAAAAAGCTAGCATGGCACCAGTCAATGAAACATACAACAGTTAGTCTAAGTCACGTAGGAAGGTGTAGACTTCCTGACTGGTTGGGGTCATCGGGACGGTAAAAACCAAGGGTTGGAAACAATTGTTGAAATGGCTCAAACGCATCGTTCACAATGGCTGGTGCAGATGCCTCCACTCCTTGTGATTTATGATTTCCAATGAAACTGTATCATTCTTTGTTATTACCATTCCTTTGTCTCACACCTCTGTTTACTGACGCTATTATGCATTTCTTGTACTTTCTTCTGTTGCTTTGTGTCTTACAAGGGGGGCAGTGTGGCGATTTGAACTTCCGCACATCTGTGCAAAGTTCTATGTCGAAAACAGACAGACAGACAATGCATGCGACAATCATCGGAGAATTATTCTGTAACCAGATGGGTCTAAAATACTGGTTTTAATTGTGTTCTGAAAGCTTTGTAAACTCATGAAAGACTGACTCGTGAAGAGCAAGCTGGGTTTCATTTATACCGTGAATGCATCGATCATAAGTAAGGTCTTCATCAGTTGTTGGAGTCTTATCACCCATTAACAATCGTTCTCTGCCTTCCAAACGTTAGACACGCCTGATCTTTAGGACAGTGTATTAGAGAGAGACGTTCTTGAGAGGTTTATCAGTACCTTTTATAAAAACACTTCGGGTGGAATGAGGACATACATACATACGTACCAGCTATTATCATTGTTCTCAACAAGCAGTGCGGTTTTATCATCCAAGATATCCAGGAGCTTGTGTGTGCTTGTCGTGTTGATCTCCGGGGAAAGAATATTCAAACGATATCGCTTTTTTGTATGTAACTAGGCTACACAAACTTGCTGGCCACAACCTTCTTTGCACTGTCTACATGTAAAGTGCTGTTGCAAGACTTTCAGGAGTCTTTACTGTCAACTGTCCTCGCAGGTGCACCGTTAATAGTCGAAAAGTTTATGCAGTAAGTTGCTATATGATGAGTGCAGATGACATTTTCAATCGTTTAGGGAAAGTCAAGGCGATATACAGCAGCATGGACTACCTCTGGCGTCATCGGGATATTAGTTCGGCCATTAAATATGAATTTCCAAAGACTTGATGTGCGCAGTCTCGCTGTACACCTATGCAACCTGATCTCTAAAATCTAACGACTCTGCGTATTTTTTTTAATAATAATAACAGCTTTATTCCAAACAGTATTTGTGGTACAGGTATGGAATTTTCAGCATGCATTACAGTATATTGCATCTAATTACCTCATAAATTATATAAGATTTTTAAAAATCAAAGATAAATAAATTAAATAAAATAAATAAGTTATAAATAAATAAAATAAATAAATATTAAAAATTAAGAAAAAAAACAGCGTAGAGTATTTCATTTCAAACAATGCACCACAGGATTTGAAATATAAAGTTGATGTGTGGTAGTAGATGAGAACAACAGTGTAGTAGTAACAAGGAAAGGAAAAGAAAACCTAATGAGACTATTTGTTAGAGTGCTGCAGTAAGTTTATCGTGTCATCGCTGGCTCCGTAGGACTGCTTGCACAGGATGATGTCGCTATTGTAAGTAATTCTGAGACCGCTTTTTTAATTAGTGATATTATCTTGGGACACTGGATTTGGTGACTTAGATGTGTGTTAAGAACGCCTTCATACTAATCATTCCTTGCTAGCCCTATAACTGAATGGACAAGAGGAGAGGTGGTCGATCCTCAACTGTTTCCATTTTTTTCCCTTTGCTGTTGTCTTATTGCCTTGTATAGCACAACTTTTAGTCTTCATACTGTACCAAGTTTGTATCATGAATAACAAAATCCTCTCAAGCACTTTAACACAATACACACAAGTAGAAGTCTGTTTTTTTCACGACATGTACCAACCAACTTAAAATTCGGATATCTGGCTATTGTGTAAGCATATTCTTTTATGTTTCTTGTTTTCTTTTTACCACCTCTAGCACTAATCTTTCCTCATGAGGCTATGGCATAGGTCATTTAATAACCCTTTGCCCAAAATTATCTTCACATATATAATCATGTTTGTATACACCAGTGCTGAAGATCACATTTAAATTTGACCAGTTATCCAGTCTGATTATGCAGTTGTGTGTCGTTTGTTATCCATTATTTATTGTCCTGTAGGTAAATCAATGTCACCTAGTAATAGTCATATGATTAGCATTTAAAAATTCAAAAATTGTAAATAATCAACCCAATTGTTTGAAAAAAATAAAATTGTATTATGTATATAAAAAAACGGCAGCTGACTAACCGTATCAAACTGGTAATTAGACGCCATTTCAATTTCCAACGGGATTTCCTCTTTCATTTTACCAATTATATACAATGGTGCAAAAAGAATATTGCTGATTGTTCGAACCTCATTAGAACGATAGGGTAAAGAGAACTGGTAAACACAAAGAATTATTTAAGAAGATAAATTAAACACTTAATCAAAACTGTTTGAACAAAAAAAAGAAGCTGCCTACTTTATAGGTACGCCCACCAGTTGTAAAAGTTGCAATTATCAGTAGCAGAATCCATTAGACTATAAATCTATGTATAAACATTCCATTAGAATTTAATATAAGTCTTTCTAGTAACCTTAAACTAGACTTTCACACAGATACACTTGTTCTTTTATTTGGCTGAGTCGCAAACCAACTCTTTCGCTGATTTACTAACCGATATCCATATGTTGAATCTAACCAAAAACAATGTTTGGCCGTAGTCTATGTATTGCAACCGTAGCATACGGCTGTAAACTTGGGGTCACACACACACACACACATTAAAATTGACTGGCGTTAAATACAAACAACCGTAATTCACCTTAACATCGAACCTCTTCAACTGCTGCACTCTATAGAGTTTTATTATCTTCAATTATATTACTTTTACCTCTTGATTCTTTATTCTTCCTACTTCATGTGTGAAAACACAATAGCTATCCATCTGTTTGACTTCAACATAGAACCTTGCACCGATGAGCACCAGTTCGAGTCGCCACACTTCACTCAGTATACAAAGCCAGAGAAGAAGGAGAAAGTTAAAAAAAGTGCAAAATAGAGACAGTAAACAGACATATCAAGCATAAGAGAATAGTAATATCGAAGAACAGAATAGTTTTTATTGCGTATTATAAGTCACAAGGAGTGGATGCATCTGTGCTAGTCATTGACAACGATTCTAAGCCATGTCACCAATTGCCTCCAGCCATCGGTGTTTACCGTCCTGAGGATCCCAACCAGGAAGGCTACATCTTCCTACGTGGCATAAACTAAATACTGTGAATTTCACTGACTGATGAGGCTGTTTCGGTTTGACCACCAATGGCTCCTTTCCAACCTGATCCATCCTATGCCACCTAACATTGCGCGTTGTCGAGGAAGGGCGATGGCTAGGCGTGCATGCGTAACACATGTCGTAACCATCTCAGTCGATGAAACTTCACAACCCTCCTTCCCTAGCACTGACATGACAAGGGCTATGCAGCGACCTAGACTGCTATATAGTAATGATGGTTCTTATTGTTGGAAATGATGATCTACCCATTTATTCTACAAAACAAAACAAACTTGAAGGATATTTATAATTTCATTTGTAATAGTGAAACTCGTCAAATCAACAAAGAAGAACTAGGCTAGAAACAAAATAGATATATTTGAAGACTTCTCAAGTCAGCCAAAAGCAACCAATACTTATACACACGAACTAGAGAATCAATATATATATATATATATATATATATATATATATATATATATATATATATCCAGAAACAATAAATCACATTTCAGGTTACCAGAAGAGATGACTGGTAAACTCGTGAAGAATTCTAAAAGCTCACTTCAACTTGATGATGTATTCGCTGAAAATGTTGTCTGCAAAGAAAATGAAACCTTCACAATTTAAATCATCCGGCGCAGAGAACACAAACACATCAATATTATCCATCTGAGCTATAAATATTCTTTGTTATATGTATCTAGACCTGCCTAAGCAACCTAGATCATATGAGTAGAAAATTCGAATAAGCGTATAAAAAAACATAAGTCTCATGACATGTACTACTTACTAGTGTGTATTTAACTATAGAGGCTGGTTGCTGAGAATACAATTATAATTAATGTGTAAAAATTAAGCACAATGTCATAAATTGATTAAAACCGTCTACATGTGTTACTACAGTCTGTATATTTATTGACAAATGCAGATATACACACACGTGTAAAAGACTATACATATATATAAACAGTGATAAGTAACTGTACACTTTAGTCACAGTTCTTTTTTGTTTTACCTTTAGCATATATTATTATAAATCTACAGGATAATAAAATAAAAACCCAGTCCAATGGAGGTAATTTTTAAATGGTTATTATTTTCTATTGAATTAACATTAAATAGAGGTAGAGATAAAATGAACTTCGAGAAAGAATTCAATTTCAATATGCTAAATTGTACCTAACACTTAAACTATTAACATTCATTTTGCGGATATATTAAGAGGATAGAAATTAATATGATGTACAATAAGTTAAGAAGTCAGTATAGTCGAAAAAATTTGCAGATTGATTTAAATTGCCCTCCAATTTTGAACTGCTTTATTTAAACAAAGTCAGTTTCGATGTTATCTTGAGTACTAATTCTCGAGTGTATGAATATGGAGCATTTCTTTATGAGTATTTACGGATAAAGATAAATGAAAAGGAGATTTGTAGCGTAAAACAGTGAATTACCTAATTATGAGACTGTTATGCTTAAGCTTAATCACCCGGAACAGATTTTTCAGGTACTAGGCTAAAAGCCACACTTATCGTGTAAGAGCTGACAAGACTTCCCAGTTGCTCTTGCCTAAGTAGGTGAGGCAGGACTCGAATTTGTGATCCATTGACTGAAAACCTAGCGCTTATGTCAATAAGTGACAACCTCATAGTTATGAAATAGATACATCATCAACTACAGCTGTACAACGCATAATTATATTATTTTCACTTTGATTCTTATTCCTCCTACTTGATGGGTAGACAAAAGGTGTAACAACTCGTACTGACAGAATTCAGTTTGCATCAAACGAAAGTCTAGACGCATGACATTGGTTACTTATTTTTATTATTATTGCTCCCTTGGGTTCCTAGTGGAACATAGGGTTTCAACTGCACGTCTCCACTTACCACTTCTATCTTCCTTCTGCTGTACTTTTCACCTGCATCCATGTTAGTCCATACTCTTTCAACTCCTCTTCACACGATCTCCTCCATGTCACCCATGGACGTCCTACTCGCCGCTTCCCTTTCGGGTTCCACTCGAGGGCTTGACGCGCGATGTCACCCAACGGTCTCCTCAGCGAGTGTCCGATCCATCTCCCTTCTCTCTTGCATATTTGTTAGGTGATTGGTTCTTGTTTTGTTTCTTCCCATAGTTCCTTGTTGGTGACTCTTTCCAGCATGGCCATCTGATCTTCAGTATAGATCCAGTGAAGACAGTTGTTGATAAAGGTCTGGCCTGCAATAGCCTGTTGGAAATATTCTTTGTGACCCACCCGCCAAGTTTCTGATCCGTATAGAAGAACTGACTTGACGTTGTTTGTATACAAGATCCGAATTTTGTTGTTGATGCTGAAATTACGAAGATTTCCAGATTGGTTTCAGGTTGATGAATGTGTTTCTCGCCTTCCCGATTCTCGCTCGATTTGACATCTTCGTCCATTCCGACTGCCTGTAGTTGAGACAATGCTCCCTAGATAAGTGAATGAATTAACCTCTTTCAAATCCCTCCCGTTGATGGTGATTGACGCTGGATGTTGCTGCTATTGTTGTTGGTTGGTTATTTTCATCACCTCCGCCTTGTCTATGTTCACTTGGAGTCCTGTCAAGCCCGAATAGTTCGGTGGTAACATCTCTAACTGCAGCGCTGGGTAACGCGGGTTCGAGTCTCAAAAGGGTACACACGAGTTCTCATCAATGATTATAGATGCGCCTTGCTGATAAGTGCTAACAAGTACGAAACCTAGGTTCAGGGTTTCTCGCCAACTATCCAACATATCAACTGCTTCATCTTGTTCTTTTTCCTCTTGCTGACCTTTCTTTCAATGCATTTGTGTGAATTGTGACAATTTTAGTCAATTACAAATCTCTATATATGGAGTTTATTTTTTTCTGTGACATCAAAATATAGTTTCAAGCAAAACAATGTGAAATAGAGTGATTCAGGAATTTTTAAATATAAGATTACTGATCTAAAACTGTCATTATACATTCGATTCTTCAGGATAAATTTAACCAAAAGCTATAACACACCAGTTTTGATTTATGGAAATCACATGGTGTACTAATGATATAATGAGTGAATTGAACTGTCTTGGTTGATTATATCATACTACTTTCAAAGAGAATAAATGAATAAGGATTAGAATGGTAAAAGCGAAACTAAACTTGATAAAAGTAATGTGTACCACTGCTCATGGCTGCCTATTATCGCCAATGATCTTCCTGATTGCAGTAGACTGGATAATGCGACAGACGACGTGCAATGAGGAAACAGGCATAAAATGGACTCACACAAAAAGAGACTTTGAGGATCTGGACTTCGCCGATGACATATATATGTCCGATTTCCCACAAACTGGAAGATATGCAAGTGAGAAGCAACAAGTTGGCTGAAGAAGCATCATAAATAGGACTTCAAGTGAACATAGATAAAACAGAGGTGATGAAGATTCCTGGCCAACACCAATAGCCACAGCGACAACAACAGACAACAATCAGCCAGCATAAATGGGAGGAACCTGAAAGGAACAACCTCCTTTACCTACCTACCTGGGAAGCATCGTTTCAACTACAGGCGAACGAAACTGACGAGGATATCAAAGCCAGAATTGGAAAAGCAAGACAAGCTTTCATTTCTCTTAAGTCTGTATGGAGGAGATGAACAGCACTCAGAATCGAAAATAACATCCGGATTTTCAACTCCAATGTGAAGTCAGTCAGAGCAACTATACGGACCAGAGACTTGGCGCGTCATAAAGAGCATCTCAAACAAACTACAGAACTTCATTAATAGCTGCCTCCGATCAATACTTAAGATCAGATGGCCGGCCAGAAAAGATTAGCAACACGGATTTCTGGCGATGAGCGAACCCACCAGGAACCGATTGTGATACAAATAGGCAGGAAGAAATGGAGATGGATTGGCCGGCCATACGCTGAGGAGACCATCAAGTGACACCACTAGACAAGCCATTACTCGAGTGGAACCCGACCAAAAGGGAAGCGGGAGGCGAGTTGGTCGTCAGTGCAAGGGTGGGGTGACTTGGAGGAGGTGATGTGAAGAGGAGATGAAAGCATGTGGGCAGACTTGGAGCGGGGTGAAAAAGTTGGCAGAAAACCGAAGGCAATAATAATA